TAATATATGCTAATAATTCTTTAAAATAAATAAATCACAAAATCCTAAAGTTCTTTCAAGGTTATCTCTAAATGGTGCAGCTATCTTTGCCATTAACACCTGAGTGCTGCACCAGTCCCTAAGCAATATGGTTTGCTTCTTCTTAATTAGTAAACATTTCTTTTTTTTTAAAAAAAAAGGAGGAGGGAGTTAATCATCCATATGTATTTTAATCATTATTTGCATTTAGAAAAGCAAACTTCTCTGCAGAACCACTCTAATTACTTCTTATTATACTTGAACGGAAAAAAGGTAGTTTATTTGCAAATGGCATTTTATTAAAGTTGAGTGAATTAAGTTAACTTTCAAAATGCCAAGAGAGAAAAACAAAGAACCCACTCTTCATTTCAGTCACTCAGTATCGCAGCTGTTAATATAATTAACATATTACTCATTAGCAACCTTTGGAAAGGTTTTGAACATCTGTAGCCCACTCTAAAATAAAATACAATATTCCTTGATCCAGTCATAGTCCTCCTCAACAGCATTATTTTTTTTTGTATCCCCCCCCCAAAAAAAAAGAATATAAACAAATAAAACAGTACACATGCTGGAACATTGTAAACCTCACCATGCTGCAAGATTTGCATTTTAAATCGTTTCAAATAGGAAATCAAATGTTTATTGAAGGGTACTACTATAGGTGTCTCCAAAAGACTAGGGATGTCAGCTCTTGCTGAGTTCTGAGTGTTATCGCCTTTCCGAAGGCAAATAAAACCAGTTAAACAAATGTTGTAAAGGTAAAAGTAAAGGACCCCTGGATGGTTAAGTCCAGTCCAAGGTGACTATGGGGTGCAGCGCTCATTTCGCTTGCAGGCTGAGGGAGCCGGCGTTTGTCCACGGACAGCTTTCTGAGTCATGTGGCCAGCATGACTAAACCGCTACTGGTGCAATGGGACACCACAACGGAAACCAGCGCGAACAGAAACACAATTTACCTTCCTGCCACAGCGGTACCTATTTATCTACTTGCACTGGCGTGCTTAATACCCCAACCACCCATCGCACTTGTCTTTTTTTCTTTTCTTTTTTTTAAAAAAGCACACTACAGAGCAGGTTTAGTTAATGTAGTGCTCTTCAGATGTTATTGGACAACATCTCCAATCAACCCTAGTAAGGTAAAGGTGAAGGGACCCCTGACCATTAGGTCCAGTCATGGCCGACTCTGGGGTTGCGGCGCTCATCTCGCTTTACTGGCCAAGGGAGCCGGCGTACAGCTTCCGGGTCATGTGGCCAGCATGACTAAGCTGCTTCTGGTGAACCAGAGCAGCGCATGGAAACACTGTTTACTTTCCCGCTGGAGCGGTACCTATTTATCTACTTGCACTTTGATGTGCTTTCGAACTGCTAGGTTGGCAGGAGCAGGGACCGAGTAACAGGAGCTCACCCCATTGTGGGGATTTGAACCGCTGACCTTCTGATCGGCAAGTCCTAGGCTCTGTGGTTTAAGCCACAGCGCCACCCACGTCCCTTTTAATCAACCCTAGTACGCAGAGCCAATTATCAGGGATTATTGGAGTTGTGGTACAGCAGTAACTGGAGCACACCATGTTGACTACCTCTGCCGTAAAGAGACGCTTATAATTGCCATTGGCTGAGGTAATAAACCAAGGTTGTGTTCAGTATAGTAATTTAATTCACTGGAATGAAAAAAATGCTTGTATGCATTAATTTGTGTTTAAATTTGATTGGTTGGTAACTGAATTCCAGAGTGTTCTCTAGTAGTTCTCATGTGATTGGCTAACATTGGTCACATGGGAGGTATCTAGAGAAGGAGAGACTCCATTTTATGTGAAGCAGGATGAGTGTGTTTTTAAAATCCACTGTGAACACTGCTAAGTTGAATAGAGTGTTGGACTGATTGTTCTCTGCTTGAAAGAAAGAGAGCAATACTGCAGGAGAGGGTAAATGTGGAAATCTCTTATAAGATCTGCAAGGCATGGTCTACTTGAGATACAGAAGATTGAGTGCTAAGCACTGAAAAGAGAGGAAAATACAGTTGTTTTGGAAGTTAGAAGAAGAGACTGTAGTCTTATGCTTTCATAAGCATGTGATTGTAAATATTATGTTTTAATTCACCTATAGCTATAAGTTTCTACAAGCAAAGTTTTTGAATGTCAAAGTCTGGACAAAGGTTTAATTTCCAAAGAAGGGTGTCAGCCATATATATGATTTTAGCTTATGAGCTGCAATTTTGCTACTCTTACTTTAACAGGGTAATGGCGTTTTTCCAGCTCAAGAACTGCATTGCATCACAGGCAATGGTGGGGGAGGGCAGAATCAAAATATGCATGGAACAACAGATGCGACTCTTAGACATTGGGTTTATTATTTTATAATACTAGCATGTCTGTCCTGACTTCTAACATTCTTTTACACTGCAGTACCTTGTTCCCTTATGGAACCTGTGGCTTCTTGACTGATATACTGCCACATCTCTCTAAATTTTAAACAGTGGTAAATAACCGTATACAAGGATGCTACCCCAAATTCCCTGACATGAAATTACAAGACAAGAGTCCCACAATTTTCTGGTTTAATGCGGTTGCGAATTGATTTTTTCCCCTAGAAAATGCACGGAAATTAGCGCTAAACTTCTACTAGATTCTACTCCATTTCCAGAACGTCATGTGAAGGATCACATAAAATGCAGAAGTTATCAGATAAGGTATTGTCAGGGAAATTAAATGAAGTTTTGTCTCAATGCAGCCTTAATGTTATATGATACACTACCATACACACGTGCAAAAGTCAAAGCTTTTTTCGCAGACTGCCACCCCACCCCACCTCTGTTGAGGAAAGCCAGAGGCATTAATTCATTGATTAATTAATAACCTGCATTTCCTCCCAAAGGAATCAAGGGCAGCAATCACATCAGTAATAATAATAATTTTTAAAATATTCTGAAAACAGTTCATCTCTCAACCAGTGATTTCAGCTATCAGCTTCCAGCCTGCAAAAACTATTATATTTTAAGCTGTTTTTAATGCTGGATTTTATATTGCAATTTCCCACTCTGGGACCATCTGGTGAAGGTGAGTAACATTAAGAATAATAATGCTGTAACTCAGTGATAGAGAATCATCTTATAATAATATGATCCAATGCAAAAAGTCATAAGAAAACATAAATTCAACATGGAATGACTTATATCAAATAAATATTAAATAATCCATTAAAATATAATAGTCAGTGCTTTTTTCTAGGGGGGGACACAAGGGTACGCATACCCCTAAACATTTTGTGCATCTTCGTACTTTTGTCCATTTGCTGTATCCCCCCCCGGTTTGAACTATAAAATTGTGATTTTCTTGAGTCAAAATGAGAGAATCCCTAAACATTTTTTTAGGGAAAAAAGCCCTGATAATAGTACACAATAAAATTAACTCTCAAAACATCAGCAAATAAAAATTAAACAGTCATTCACTCACATTTACAATAAAATGCTGTACAGTGGACGCTCAGGTCGCGAATGTGATCCGTGCGGGCTGCACGTTTGCAACCCGCAGCGGTGCATCTGCGCACACGCGGGTTGCGATTCAGTGCTTCTGCACATGCTCAAAGTGCAATTTAGCGCTTCTGCGCATGCGCAACCCCCGAAACCCGGAAGCAGCCAGTTCTGGTACTTCTGGGTTTCGGCGGTCAGCAACCTGCAAAAACGCAACCTGAAGTGTCTGTAACCCGAGTTATGACTGTATTGTGTTTTTAATATTCGGTGGGAAGTCGACCAGAGTGGCTGGGAAAACCCAGCCAGATGGGTGGGGTATAAATATATTATTATTATTATTATTATTATTATTATTATTATTATTATTTACTGGACTATGATCAATAAAAATAACTGCAAGTCACAATGCATAAAATACTGCAATACATACAAAACCATGCAAAAGGATCAAACTGAGAAACAAAGACACACAACTTACAAATGCATTTTAAACAAAATCTCTCAACTCCTTGTAAGCCCTCTTGAGCATGGTTTGAACTGTGGAAAGATAGCATACAAATAAAATTATGTATGCATGTATGTAACTTGCCCTCCTCTAGATATGTCAGCATTCAGAGCATTCTTGGAAGCAGACGTCAGGAAACGAATACCATTTGTCATATTACAAAGATGGGCATGCATCCTTTAATATGTGCTTCAGATTTGGTCAAACAAAATGGCTAAGTCACATGCTTTCCAATATGTTGTAAAGAAATGCTGTTGCTAAACATTGAAGGAATCTCAGCCGTAGATGGCAGTCAAAACAAATGGCTTAAAACTGTGGTTAAAGTAGAGCTAATAATATTGCCACCGCGCTCCTTTTCCTTGGAGTCACTGCTACTGATGTGTCAAGGGCAGGTATGAAGACTAAGGTCAATTAAAAAAAATGCTTTACAAGATTTTAAAATGTGTGTTTTTGTACTAACACAGTTAACAACCTATTAGTATGCAAAACAGTTTAATACAGAGCTTTGCATATACATCAGATGAGTTGGACTGAAGGGAAAGTTTTGCTCTTCTGGGATAGCAGGCAATAAAACTACTAGTGTTGAATGGAGAGTCACCCTCAATTGTTTGGGCAGCAAATACGTATTTCCTCATCTTCACATTCAAAGAGACAACAATAGCAGGACTTTCTTCCCTCCTCCTCCTCCTCAGTAGCTGCAACTAGCAACTGCATCTAATTGTATATGTGTTGCTGCGATGTTAACAGCTTCAGTTGATCCCTAATGGGCTAGACCCTGATAGGTTGCAGAAAATCTCACCCTAAAATTAGTGAGAAAGCATGCTTTGAACATATACAAACAACAGAAAACACCACTAACAGAGGGTTGTGTTATTTTAAAGGGATTTTTCTCATGGGTGTGATTTCATCCTACATTTTAAATTTTGGTATATTTTTAACCAAGCCTCCATCAAACAATCAGCTTAAAATTCCAATAAAGCATAGTCATTCCAAAGAAGAAGAGATAAAGCACAGGTAGCTCAACTGGTACAGAATGAGACCCCTTAATCTCAGGGTCATGGGTTTGAGCCCCACATTGAGCAAAAGATTCCTGCATTACAGGGGGTTGAATTGGACTAGATGATCCTTGTGGCCCCTTCCAATTCTATTATACTATAACATATCCGTTAAAGCTATGGTTTTCCCAGTAGTGATGTATGGAAGCGAGAGCTGGACCATAAAGAAGGCTGATCGCCGAAGAACTGATGCTTTTGAATTAAGGTGCTGGAGGAGACTCTTGAGAGTCCCATGAACTGCAAGAAGAACAAACCTATCCATTCTGAAGGAAATCAGCCCTGAGTGCTCACTGGAAGGACAGATCCTGAAGCTGAGGCTCCAATACTTTGGCCACCTCATGAGAAGAGAAGACTCCCTGGAAAAGACCCTGAGGTTGGGAAAGATTGAGGGCAGATGGAGAAGGGGACGACAGAGGATGAGATGGTTGGATGGTGTTCTCGAGGCTACCAGCATGAGTTTGACCAAGCTGCAGGAGGCGGTGGAGGACAGGGGTGTCTGGCGTGCTCTGGTCCATGGGGTCACGAAGAGTCAAACATGACTAAACGACTAAACAACAACAACATAACATATCCAAATATCAGTTAAATACTGCCGTGGAAACCACCCACACTGCCCCACAAATGAGTATTTACATCCCACAAACAGCTGGGCAAAAATGGTAGAATTTTACTAGGTGTTGAAATGCCAACCATGTTGGTGTCACTCAGGCTTCCTGACATGCTTTTCAATAATAATTATTCTTAATTATTATTATTTTATAGCATTTTCATAGGCTTCAGAAAACATTCCACCATTTACAAATTGCTCACTCGGTTGTTTGGTGAGTCTTGATTATGCAGCAGAGGTAATCCTCTGTATGGAAAGAGAGACAGAAGAAGAGAGAAGTTAAAGTTTAAATTTAGCAGTGCCATCTAGTGCCCAGTAAAATTGCTGAAAGAGTAGATTTCATATCTGAGTGAGACTCGGACCTGCACTTCAGTAACTTGAGCACCAAATAAAGATGCTTTCTATGTAGGCATTTAAAGCTGCCATTCTGCACCTACTTTCCTTATGTAGGCCCCATTGAACTCAATTGTACATATTTCTGAATATGCATGTATAGGATTTCACTTTGAGGCTGCAACTCTGCACATACTCACCAGGGAGTAAATCCCATTGAACTTGATGGGGCTTACTTCTAGAACCAGTAATCTAGGTACAGGGCTTCATTGCTCATTTCTGTAAGGTAAAGGTAAAGGGACCCCTGACCATTAGGTCCAGTCATGACCGACTCTGGGGTTGCAGCACTCATCTCGCTTTATTGGCCGAGGGAGCCAGAATACAGCTGCCGGGTCATGTGGCCAGCATGTCTAAGCCACTTCTGGCAAACCAGAGCAGCACACGGAAACGCCGTTTACCTTCCCGCCGGAGCGGTACCTATTTATCTACTTGCACTTTGATGGGCTTTTGAACTGCTAGGTTGGCAGGAGCTGGGACCAAGCAATGGGAGCTCACTCCATCGCGGGGATTCGAGCCACCGGCCTTCTGATCGGCAAGCCCTAGGCTCTGTGGTTTAACCCAAAGCGCCACCCGCATCATAAACTATGGAAGGAAGCAGCAAGCCGACATTAAAGATACGTGTTGGATTCTGAATGCATCTTCAATATATGCACTTATAGGGCAGTATACCCAAAGGCATGAAAATATTGATGTTTTTTAAAAAATCAAAAAATATCAGAAATGGTGTTTAGCGAGGCAGCACCTGCATTCTGGAACTCAAGCAGGTGCCTTCAAGGTACTCTTTTCATCGCCTGCTAAAACCATCCTTGTTTAGACAATTCTTACCAGATATTTAAAAAGTTGAGTTGATTTTAGTGCTTTAGCATTTTAACTTTTTCATATTTTATAGTAGGGTTGCAATTTTTTCTCTGTTTTATTGTTTTCTCTGTAAGCTGCTCTGAGGTTTTTTTGTTTTGTTTTTACAATCAAGTGGTGTATAAAGTTTGTGAAGTTGATAAATAATAAAAAATGTTATTATTATTATTATTAGGTAGCTGAATGTAAGGCAACCTTGAGCTCTTCCTGCTTCACTCCACTGATAAACTGTAGACCTCTGAATGCCAATGTGCCAGTGTTAATTTTATTTATATATTGCCTGCCAACTGCATTTCAATATATAGAATAAAGCAATTCCTAATAAAGCAGTACATCAGTGCAGTAGACTCACTGCTGGAATGGGAAGAGGATTCTTTCCCAGAGTAGTTAACAGGGCCTCTAATACTGCAGAATCCCCGCGACGGGGTGAGCTCCCATTGCTCGGTCCCTGTTCCTGCCAACCTAGCAGTTCGAAAGCACGTCAAAGTGCAAGTAGATAAATAGGCACCGCTCTGGCAGGAAGGTAAATGGCATTTCCGTGTGCTGCTCTGGTTCGCCAGAAGCACCTTAGTCATGCTGGCCACATGACCCGGAAGCCGTACGCCGGCTCTCTCGGCCAATAAAGTGAGATGAGAGCCGCAACCCCAGAGTCGGCCACGACTGGACCTAATGGTCAGGGGTCCCTTTACCTTTAATATTGCAGAGGCAAACAGTAGTTTAAATTAGCACTGAAGGAAAACTGCTGCCCCATTGGCAGGCAGCAAATTTGGAGAGGGCAGTTTGGTGATTTCATTGGCAGCAGACTCCCCAAGTGTCCCTATTTTCCAGGGGCAGTCCTGGATTATACAGAAGGCACCCTGTATAATCGGGTTTGACCCCAGAATGTCCCGCTTTTCTTTAGGACGTCCCTATTTTCATCAGAGAAATGTTGGAGGGTATGTGGGAGTTCAGGTTTTATGGAGGAGAAGTTTATAATTAGTGGTGTGGTGAAGGTGGGTTTTTAATAGGTCTCTCCAAGTAACACCCCCCCTTCTTGATTTAATGTGCAGGACTTGGTGCAGGCACCCCCAAACTCAGCCTTCCAGATGTTTTGGGACTACAACTCCCATCATCCCTAGCTAACAGGACCAGTGATCAGAGATGATGGGAATTGTAGTCCCAAAACAGCTGGAGGGACGAGTTTGGGGATGCCTGCCTTGGTCCATGCAAACTGCATTCATGTAGGGCTTGCATGTCCAAAGTCTGCTTCGGGGGCCTAATTTGGCCTGCCGGTTGGTTTAATCCAGCTCCTGTGGCAGTTTACTTCCTGGGGTAAAACCCTAGAAAAAGCTCAACAACTTTAAACCTAAAAATAGGTCAATAACTCTGGTTGGCCCTTTGGTCGACCCTCACGGCCCTTCACTTCATCAAATCTAGCCCTCTTTGAAAAAAGTTTGGACACCACTGATATAGGGTATATTACATGACCTTTTGATCAAAGTTTGGTGTCAAGTTGGAGTATGAAGGCATAATCCTGCTCTTCCCTTCATGCCTTTATGTCCATTGCTAAGGTTGTATGAAAAAGGCTTCTTTAGCTGTTTCTCCACCATAAAGTACTTCCTTTTTGGAATTCCAATTCTAATCCTCAGTACCCTTGCTGAAAATATAGTAAGAGAATGTTTCCTCATTTCAGCTTTTTCTTTTATCAAGACAAAGTGATACCAAAGAACTACACTTTGCTCATCGGGCTGGAACCGAGCTTCTATTCACTCTGCAAAATTATGTTATTTGTTGAGTCTAGGCTCTTAATTACCATTTTGTAAGTTACTATCTTAAGGCATATGTTGCCTATTAACAAGACAGTGAAAGAACCAGTAGCTTATTAGTTTTTGCTTAACCTGAGCAATGACATGACTTAAAAGCCTACAAAAAAAATCAATAACCTAAGTGGAATTAATTGGAACGTGCTCTTTCGCTTGAGCTCATATTAATGGTGTTGCACAACTTTTAAATTAAATAACAGAACCTTTGTGTTGAAATCACAGAAGCAAGATAGCCATCTTGAGTTTATTAAGGAAAATTAATTACAAAGTCCCTACTTTGTTGATAGGATGGCTTTGCTTTGTCATGCCGTAGCTTTTGCAGGTATTCTAAGGAAGAAGCTATTTGCCATCTAGGCTGGGGAAATTGTGAAATATGGAATTGAGCCAGTGCAGGAAACTTCCCCCTGCTGCAATTAGAGCAGTCAATCGTGAGAAGTACGTATTCCATAGGATTTAGGAATCAAGTGATGCGATTTTAATGCATTTATTTAATGCATATTTATTTAATGCATTTATTATGGTAAAATGTGCATGGAAATGCACATATCAGTGAAAAACATGCAAAGATGCATTATATTAGAGGGCCTTTCTTGCAAAATATCACACATTCAGCAGAAGGTGTGTTAAAATATGGTAGTTAGGAGAAATTTGCACTAAAACGCTGGTGACTTTTCATGATGACTTTAAAAGAAGAAGAAAACACAGACTGATGAGGAATGTGAACTTAAGAGTGGGAAAATGAGAAACAGAGACAAGTCAAAAATGACACATTTGCCCATCCCTAGAAAGAATTCATTTTCCTGCACTGGATTAGCTTATTAAAAGTTCATTCCATTACCCCACTTCCCCCTTTCTTGATCCTGCCTTGCCTATCACCAAACTCACAGGGAATGCAATAGGATGCTAATCCACAGGTGTGCTTAAAAAGTTGCCAGCACAGTTTTCCTTTTTCCTTTGGCTATATATACACGCCTGTGTGAGTGTGCGTTTGTGTGCGTGCACAAACACACACATAAATAGTATCAAATTTCAGAAAAATAACTCATTCTCAGCACGAGGTAACTGTACATGATGCAGTATGAATAAGGCTGCTGGAAGCCTGTTTTTGTGAATTTTTCATAAAGATGTTTCTCGGAAAAAGGTAACAATCTTGACATAGCACAATGGAAACCAAAGAAGACATCATCCAGTATTAAAGAAGGAATCGGCACCCTGGTACCACGCACAATATTTTTAGCTGAACCCTTCTCTGTATACTTTGCCCTCCTTCTGCTTCTAGATTCGGTCTCTCTACGTCCCCCCCCCCTTCTGCCCCCACAGGCTCATTGTTCAGAAAGCCTTCCTATATATGAAGCTTTCTGGCTGAGAGA